CTCTTTGGTGATTATTTGAATGTGATTACATATTTAACCAAGATAGTTTTGTAACAAAAAATGGTTTCATTTTGTGAGAGTGATCAGAAAAGAAAAAATTCAGACGTCCAGTATTTATTTCTTCTGGGGACAGGAATAGTATCCTATAAAAACTTTCCTGAGGGTCAGGGATTTAGCTCAGTGGCATAAGTGCCTGCTTGGCAAGTGTGAGGTTGTGAGTTTGATCCCTGATTACAAAAAAAAAAAAAAGTTAAAAAAGCTTGCTTGAACAAGTGTGTTTGTGGGGTTAAATTATTTGATTATACCTCCTGAGTCCCATTTAATCATAATAATGATGGTTATATTGGGGACCTCTCTGCAATCTATACACAGCACTGCTGAGTTAATCTAATTGTGAAAAAAGAAACAGATCAATAGACTTTTCTAGGGACAAAACTGTTGCTGAGAAAATAAGAACTTCCATTTGCTTATTTTTTTTTTAATTAAAGACTTTTAACAAAGGCTTGGCATTAACTGTTCGTCATGCTGATGTTCTGGCAGTGGTGCTCAAGCGCTACTCTTGGTTGGTGGAACGCTACATGACAGGCTAAAACAAGACTCTTCTTTCCAACTGAAGGTCTAAGGTCTTTAACTTTATCCCAAGTGAATTTCCAAACCACTCAGGTAGATCATGTAAAGCTTCAGACAGTAACTGGTTTTGAACTTGGTTTCATTTACCTTGAAGATTCAAAGGTAAACAAACCAAAGAAAAAAGAGGTTGAAATTGAAAAGACCTGGACAAAAGTATAGAATGTGAAGGAATCAGGGAGGAGAGAGAGAGAGAGAGAGAGAGAGAGAGAGAGAGAGAGAGAGAGAGAGAGAGAAAGAAGGAGAAAAAGAAAAAGGAAGAAGAAAAAGAAAAGGAGGAGGAAGAGGAGGAGAAGAAGGAGAAGGAGAGAAAGAGGAAGTGGAAGTGGCAGGAGGAGGGAAGAGGGAAGTAATGAGAAGGAAAAAGAGGGGAAAGGGAGGCGGAGAGAAGAGAGGAAAGAGGAGACCGTTGCAGTCTCACTTTCGGAGGGTGGAACGTGGGAAGCGTGTGCTCTTCACTCCAGATCTTGATTTGGAGTGAAGGCCCCCTTGCTGTGGGGACTTGATTGAGGAGTGAATGATTGAACTCCAGAACAAAAGCACACAGGCTCTGTGAGAAATGCATGGTTAGATTAGTGGAACACATGGGGTCTGGCTGTGGTCCTTTCTCTTCACCCAAGCAAAGCTACTCAGCCTTGAGACAGATCCTTGTCCAAATTGCTTTGTTCCACTTTTTTTTCCCCAAGTACCCTGATATTCTAATCAAAAACTGGAGAGTTCTTGGCTGTGGGGCTTCTCCGGAGTCTGTCTAATGTTAGGGCTGTCAGTCGAGATGGCCCTCTGGGTCCTCTAAATGAATGAACCGTGTCTCATCTCTGAGTAATCATTCATTACTCAGATTGCAGTGCTGCAGTGTTTTCCCACTGCAACAACTCATGGACACACCCAGGAGACCTGAAGTATGCCTCGGAGGCGGAGGCACTTGAGGGTTTGTCTATGGATGTGGAGGGAACCTACGGCATACGGGCTGCAGTGGGAGGTTTGTATTATTGAAAGCTCGAAAAGGTTTGTTGCCCCCAGTCTGTCTCCTTCATGTTACATAAAAGATAATAAGCTAGAGGGGTCCAGAAGTAGCCCGTGGCATCAGGGGGAAAACTTGACCTGGGAAATACCTGTACTTCCTTCAGTGTAGGTCAGAGGAATGTGCTTTTTGGAGGTCTTATCAGAAACCAAAGAAAGAATTGTCGACTGAGGATCATTTAAAATGAATCTTACCAAGATTCTGCTAGGAGATAAGTCATACACTGTGGAAAGATGCTGGTTACTCTCTAAATATGTAATGAGAGGAAATTATCAGCGACTTCCTCATTCTGTATATTCATTATCCAAGTTATATGTCTACCAGGTGCCTTAAAAATATGTATGGGGTATTTATTCTGGAAGTTTAGAAATTGGAATTTAAAAAAATTTAGTATGGAAGATAATAGAAATTAAGAATGATGTTATGAAATGAGCTTGCTGACTATACTTGATATTTTGTATTACTCTTTGACTCAAGCTATATTTTATTATGCAAATTAAATGGAAATTTTAATGCTTATTCAAGTTTGTGCTGTTAATTTGGCTTTTCATGCACCAAATTGCCAATCTTTAGTTTATGGTATATACAAAGCCCGAAAGACTTTTAAACATACGGAAGTGCTTTTATAAATTACCCATGGTTATCTCAGGTTATGAACATTTTAACACCAAAATGATTTTTCTCATTAAGATGTGGATTGGGTTTATCTACATGCCCCAGAAACCAGAAATCAAAACAGAGGCTTGTTCCCATAAGGTTTTGTTCTTCCATGTAAAAAGTTTGGAGGATAGCGGACCATTGGCTGGCATAGAAATTTTACAGATTGTTACAAGAGATCAAATTCTTCCATCTTTCTGCTCCTGATGATGGGTAGCAATCAAGTTGGCTCCTGGAATCCAGTCATTATGCTCACAGTTATGAAGCAGGAAGAGGAAAAGAAGACTTTCTCGGATCCTGTAAATACTACTACACTGTCTAGTCTAGTCACTTATGATATCTAAGGATCAGGGAAGCTGCAAACTACAGTCTGTAATTTTTTGTGGGGATTCCATTATTGGTGAGGAATGAAGGCCTACTACTGGAGGTAACACTTGCATTTGATACCAGAAGTACACAAGTTATAAAAGACAGCTTCCTTTTGATTCTTGGCTCCACTACATAATAGATTGTGGCTTTGCTAGAGTCCTAAAATTTTCCTTTTAATGCTCATGTGTGAAGTGAGAATAGCAGGGTTGTACCAAGACTTAATATGAAGATGCTCAGAACTGTGTCTGGACATATACTACTGTTGTCATCATTATCCTTACAGCGTATTATAATTCCCTGAGCCACAGCTTTTATATGTAACCTTTGAGGATTTTTACTACTCCGGCCCTAATTATTGGTCAGGTTTTCATCACTACAACAAAAAAATGGAGACACCTAATTTTTTAAAACGAGATTTATTTAGATCACACACTTGCAGGCTGAAAGCTCAACTAGAGTAGCACAGGCTGAGGTGAGGGCTATATGGAAGATAACACCAGAGCGTGTTGGGGGAGAATTAGATCGTGACACAGGAAGTGGAGAGAACTGGGTGGGTCCAGTTTTGCTTTTTGTATTCTAGTCTTCTCTCTTTCTTTTTTATTTAAAGAGAAAAAAGAAAGGACATAAAAAAACAAAGCAGTAAAAGGGTACAAGTAATACAGAATTTCAAGAAAAAAATATACAGTAAGAAATCACAAGTTAATAGGTTACATATTGTCTTCTTAGAAACAGTTGTCCAAATTATAAAATGTCCAAAATATAAAGTGGACATTCATACAGTGATATTGGAGACAGTTCTGTTCAGTAATCCAACAAAAGCTCAGTAATATGGTTTTCCATCCTACACACTCAAACATATTTGTGGTTATATCCCTTAGTCTACCTTCCTTTCCTCTTTTTTACAATAGCAATTACACTTTTTGGGTTTTATTACTTCCACAGTAGCAATACTGGGGTCCAAATCACGTTAATAGGAAAACAAAAAAGTTACTATAATATATCCCGCTATTTTTTTAATTTAGTTTTCCCTTAATTAAAAAAATGAGAAAAAATAGATTAATTTTAAAAAGGGGGAGATTGAGATAAAAGAGGACATTGTAACAGAACAATGCAGGTCAGAACCGAACAATTTAAGCATTGTGTTTCACCACCAGATAATCTAACATAATAGTAGTCAACATAGTGTCTCTTTCCTTGAATTATTTGAGTATAACTTCGTACGCTATAGCATCAAGCATATCAAGACAGTGTGAAGCCATTCAAGAGAATGCAAGAATTACAGGGTATTTAGAAGCAGCTAATAGAAAACGAACAATGGTTTCTATACTATCTCTTTGCCTATAAAAAATTTTGTTTATACTACTGCATATAGTAAAATATAGTAAGATACAACATGTTAAAACCAGTGGAAACAGATGTACAACAGCTTGATGGGACTTCAAAACAAGACGATATTAAATCAGCACTAGCTTTTATGTTGTGTTGTTTTCTTCAAAATAGCTATTCATACTATCACAGATACTAAAATCGAACAACCCAGGTTAAAACCATTGCAATTAATGAGTGAAAACATTATATGGCTTCAAACCAATATGATTGGGAATCATGATTACCACATACTTTTATGTATTCTTATTTCTTACACTAGGGAGACTTCGGTATTTATACATGTGAGTTTGATTTATTTCACTTATGAGTATGGTCTCAAGTTGCGTCCATTTATTTATAAATGTCTCAATGTGATCATTCTTTATAGCTGTGTAGTACTCTATTGTATAAAAATACCACAACTTTTTTATCCATTCTTCAGTTAATGGACACTTAGGTTGTTTCCAAGATCTGGCTATTACAAATTGCGCTGCTATAAACATGGGTGCAAATATAGTCTTCTCTCAAGAGCTGCTGAGGGGTCACAAGAGAACTACCTCACACCTCCAGTGTCCTAAGGACCACTCACTAAACCCCACACTTTGTAGATTCCACAGCACCTCCCTGGACCACCCTGGAAACCAATATTCCAATGATATGAACTTTTAGTGGGGGATACAATTAAGCCTCAGCCAAAATGTAGCACATTAGAATCTAGTAAAATGCCTGGTGCTTTGTAGATATGACTGGATAGACTGAATGAGTTTTGAATCACAGATCTACTTTCTAGCTAAGTCAGTAAGACTGGACTTGTGAGCCTGAGATATTACTTATTTTTTAATGTCAACTGGAGTCAGTGATCAAAAGCACAATCATGTACATCAATAGGAGTGTATTTTAGAAACTAACCATTTGGGTGATTAATTTTTCTTATATGTGGCTTCTAATTTTTTTTCAGATTTGGATATCAGAAGCACATGAACAGATGTCACAAATTTTTTTAAAAAGAGAATTGGCTGAAATAAAGAGCAAGGCCTTATTAAATGAGGAAACACTGTGTTCTGGGATTATTGCAAGGTATTCTTAGAACTGTCCCTTGCTTACAGAACATGCGTGTGTGGAAAGGATTTCATCAGTAGGACACGGGATGGAGACCCCGGCTACACGGACAATGCTTTTGTCTCCAGCTTCCACGCTCTGAGCTCTCGCTGCTGTCTCGGCTTGGAATTCCTTTCCCCTCAATTGCTTACCAGACCACACTCTACTTATTCTGGATCCTTCTAAATCTCTTATTTCTTCTTTATTCATTCGTTCTGATGATCTAGGTTTGAACCTCACTTCAATCAACTTACTTGCAAAAGGATCATTTCCTAGGATTATTGTGAAGTTTAGATAAAAGAAAATATTTCATGTGATTAGAAGTGTTGCCTGAAATGTAGTGAGGATTAGGTAAATTGTCATTAATCAGAATTAAATGTTCTGGTATCCTTGCTGTCTGTGTATTTTATTCCTACTTGACCACTGGATTTGAATTCAGTCGTTCATGAGAGTCTGTTTCCCCAGAGAGAGTTCCTTGAGGGTAAGAACTGTTTGTTAGTCACATCTGACTAAGATGTGTAGTTCTGTATCCTGGCACAGTACCTCTGTATAGAAGTGCATGAAACTGTTCCTAGGAAATGCAGTAAACATAATGATGCAATGCTACAAATTCATTTTACTTGTTGGTACATTTTATTTTGCAAAGTATATACATGTTACAAAAAAAAACTCTTAAAAATAATCACAAAATTCAGCTTCCAAGTAGCTTTGTATGACTTTGAAAGTTTATATATGGCAATCTGACATGTTTTCTAAAAATTGTTGTCACATCTTTAGGGACACTGGATTACCTGCCACAGGCTTTGGAGCTGTCTTTACCAGACATCCACCAGATCAGGGCAAGATGTAAGTAGTCCTTAAATTGCTGCAGGTTGCCCAAAATGTTTATTGATCCTGGACATTTGTTTGGAGGGATGAAAGCTTACCCTTTATATGATGTTTTGGACTTTCCTTTAAGGAAAGATTTCTGCCCATCAAGAGCTATACGATTATTAACAATAGTAATATTAAAACGGTCAATTCACACTAACTGTATGTTCTGTACTTGTGAATTCTTTAGCTCTCTAAAATTTCTTTGTAACCTCTTTGTATCACTGCTGATGTGTGTTTTGAAAACCTAGCCAAAAAATTTAACCCACTTGATCTGCAAACTTCCAGCTGAGGTCAAATAAGAAGCTGATCTGCCTTCCTGTTCCAGCTCTTGTGCTATAAACAAATGTCTTTTTCACAGTCTCTTTAGTGCTATGTTTTTCTAACTTTCATGATTTTCATTAATTGTTAAAGTGTTCCCCGAGCCTAGTGATGAGGCAGTGTCATGTTTCTAAGTGTGAGAGGGTTGTGCTGTGCCTTTCAAAGAAAATACCTCTGTTAGATAACTTTAATTCAGGAAAAAGGTATAGTTAGCAGTGAGTTTAATGTTAGTGAATCAAAAATATATTCCAAGTGAGATGTCTTTAAATGAACATGCACATAGAATAAGGTTGTATATTGATCCCTTAGTGATATGTTGTGGCCAGAGTTTGGTAGGACACTAACATTATATTTCCCCCAAGAGCAGTGTTTAGTATTTGCTAATGCAATGTTTGTGTCTAATTTGCTAAGCATTACTGTGAACAATGAGAACTGACCAAACCACAAGAGATTAATATTTTTACTGATCAAGGAATTATATTTATTTGGGGGGACAGTATAAATCATTACTACAAAAATTTTTTATACACTCATCTTCCTAAAGAACGTTCATAAGGGGTAGATAAGTGGTGTGGAAATACAAGCATGGCAAAATTCTAAGTTCTGGATTATACATACAGGATTGCGGTGAAGATTAAGTATTTTGATACATGTAGAACAGTTGGAATGGTAGTTGATGTCTACTTAGCAGTTGCTTTACTGTACAGTTGGTCAACTCTTTTAGGTTATAAACTCAAGGGTTCAGGTACATTTTCTTGATTTATTTAACTTATCTCACCTAAGCTTAGCTTGGTTTTTTCTGATATATATATATATATATATATATAGTGTGTGTGTGTGTGTGCGTGTGTGTGTGTGTCTTTTTTTGAGACAGGGCCTTGTTATGCAGTTCAGGCTGACATTGAGCTCACTTTATAGTCTAGGCTGGTCTTGAACTTGTAGCAATCCTCCTGCCTCAGCCTTTCAAGTGCTGGGATTATAGGCATGTGCCATCACACCTGGCTCCATCTGTTAAATCTTTTGAAAATCATTTATTTGGATGTTTGATCATTTGGCCTGGTCATCTAATTTGCTTGTGTTAGCTCTCTCTTTCTCTCTCTTATCTTTAATATCTACTTTCTCTTATGTTACTTTAACCCTACTGTGATGGTTTATGTCAGTGGCCCCCAAGCATCATGCAGTTATGGACTCAACCAAATCTAGTGTTTGTGATTGGCTCGTTGTCTGTGCTCGGATTGGTGGTGTGAGCGTTACACCTGCCTAGGGGTGGAGCCAGCATACGATGTAGGGAGGAAAGAAGGTGTCCCCCCTCTTCCAGTGCACACTTGCTGTTTGCCATGAACTGGTCCAGCACACCACCCTGCCTTGGGCCAGCTGAGTATGGACTGAAACCTCCAACCTATAAGAAATGAACCTTTTCTTCCTTCATTTTTGAGTGTCGAGTGTTTTGTCCCAGCAATGAGAGAGAAGTAACTAAGACACTTACTGTTACATTTTTTTCTGAATATACTATTTGTTGCCAAACTATTCTGTTGCTGTTTGCTCCTTGTCAGGTTTTATGACAATATCTGCTGTCATCCATTTTGGCATATTAAACATAGTTTGTTTTTAAACTTTTCTTCTTCATGTGTAGTCTGTTACTCCAAGATGCTTTTTCTTTGTTTCTCATTTGTGCAGTATCTATTTTCCAAATTAGAGGCATTTTCCTCTGATGGTCAGTAACTAATTCTCACTTTCCTGTTTATGGCTAAGAAGAGACGGAGCACAGAGCCTGTGACTGAGAACCTCAGTGGAGGAATCTAGATGGGCATTTTTTCAAAGCAGTTCAAGGGTCAGAATTTCAGTTTTTTCTCTCTGCAGTGAATCAGATTCCCAGAGGAGCATCCTGAATCTCCCATCTGAAGGGTAAAAGACTGGTTCTGTGGCCAGCTGAAGACTACTCTCCCCAAAGAGTAGATCGAGACTTAGCTTGCTTCTACACACAAAGTAGTTTCTTGACTCCTCATGGAAAATTGCAAGACTCAGCACTAAAAGCCATAGGTGTATTTACTAGGCAAAAATCAAAGAAGTACACACTCAGAAGGGAGTGCAGGCACTCAAAAGATGAGTGGCATTATGGTCTGGACTTGGGGATATTTATATATTTTGGGAGTGTGTGAAAATCTTAGGGATCTTTGGGATCTTAGGGATCTTTGGAGTGATCTTTGGGATCTTAGGGATCTTTGGAGTGAGTTCTTGGGAAAGGAAATGTAATAGTATTGTAGCTTTGGGTAACTTTGACTGTTTCCTTAAAGAGCAGTGTTTTAAAAGTGTAATTTACTTAAAAATTATGATCTTTGCTTGTCTTATTTCTACCTATTTTTTCTATCTTACTTCAGTTTTGGGGTCTTTCAGTAAAGGACAGTAGTGCTGGAACTTCAATACTAATGTTTCATTGTTTTGACTCAGAATTGTGTTGTTAACCGAAGACTTTTTCCTTTACCCTTTCCAAGGAGTGAGTTCCAGCCTCCTCCTACAGGAGGTGAGGGAAGTGGCTCAGCAGAGGGCAGCGGGGGTCCCCTGGTGCTGCTGCCTTGATTCTTCCTTAGCAACACCCTGCTCCTTTGCAGACCCAGGATTCAGCTTTCCTCTAAGCCAGCAGCCACTTGCTGATCTTCAAGCCCCAAAGCTTTCTCTTGTCCTTTCTGTTCCCTGTCCTTGTGACTTTTTAGTTTTTAAAAAAGACTTCATGTGGTTGTTCTGGAATATTTGAGGAAGGAAGATTTATTTATTTACTTTTTAGATGAAGAACAAGTTTTACTTTATAAATAAATCTCAGTAGCAGTGAAATCCCAAAAGCTGGTCATTATAATAGAAAAACAAAAGGTAAGAAGAGTTTGTTTTGCTTTTGTTTCTGAAAATATGGAATTACCACCGCAATAGACTGCCAACTCTCGCTTTTATTTGGATGATTCCTTTTGTGGACTAGAGGAAGGAAGACTTAATGTGTTTGTTCAGTCTTAACTCTGAAGTCATGAGATCTCACTTGGACACCACCTCTCACAGAGGACCTCTCTACTCATATCCTCACCCTGATTCTCCTGACTTACCTGGTCTCAACCTTGCAGGTCTCCATCGCACTGTTATCTTAATGGGGTTCATCTTGTTAATAATGGGTCGTATCCTTTACTTTCTCACTAAATTCTGTGATCTGAAGGGTAAGACTGTCACAGATCCATTCCTAATGTCTAACAGAAAGCATGACCTTCAGCATGTGCACCAGTTATACTCTGAATGAACAGGTTAATTATTTCTAATGTAGAACACCCAGTTCTAATGGAAAGGGGCATGTCTAATTCCTCTCTTATTTGATTCAGGGACCTAAGGCCTGCAGAACCAAGAATTGTTCTCAATTCTATTTTGGTAAATGCAGTTAGAAGACATGGTCTTTTAGAGAATCAACCTTATTAGTTTGAATTGCTAGAATTGCTTCTTTGTGTTATTTGATTAATGAGTATTAGCAGGGACGTAAATACATGAGCACCTTAAACTGGTCTCACTAGTTCTATGTGTAATTCTTCCCATCAGTTAATATAAGTAACAATAGGACATTCCATTCAATAGAATGTGGTGGTGGTTTGAAATCTGCCCTCTTGAATATTAATTTTTTTTTTTTTTTTGCTTCTTGACAACTGTACAGCTTTGAAAGTTAAATGTCAACTTTAAAAGGCAGTGAATAAGAATGAGTTTGCTCAATGGACCAAAATAATGTACTTCAACTTATAAAAGAATGTTATAATCACAATGTAAATTTAAACTTTAGGTTACCGCTTAAGAAAAAAAAAACTTCAAAGTTATAACTTTGTAATTAAGGACACATGAGTCCTACGCACTTACAATTTTTAGATAGTATCTATGGTGTTGTCCTGGCATTTGCTTGCCTTTTGTTCCCAGCTCAGCCTGTGGTCGACTTACTTCACTTTGGACCAATAAGAAGAAGATAAACACTTTTCCTGCATAAATAGTTAGCAAACATCTCACTGAAACATACTGAAAATCAGAACTAGAATGTTTTTATACCACTGAACTTGTCACTCCTGAGTTTAGAGAAAAGGGCTCTGTGAATAATTTCCCCTTATGCCACAGACAGAGATAAATGGGAAAAAATTTGTAATATAGGAAGCAGTCAGGTAGAACCTAAAAATTATACCAATGACTTAAACTTTTAAGATGAGATTTGTAGACTTGGCCCATTCCCATCAGTGAGTTTATAAGAAATTGGCACTGACCAGTGGTGACCAATGGAGAGCTCGGCATCAGGACGTTCCAGAGATCTCATAGGCCCCAGCAGTGCCCCTTTGGTCTCTAGCTGAGGCAGCTGCATGTGTAGGGAGTTGAGACATGTATTACTTTTACCACGTGGATGGAGACAAGATGTAGAAAAGTAATGAGAGGCATATTTTCTTTAAGGCATTTAGGAAAACTGATTGGGGAATTACAACATAGTGAGGAAGTTCATTTGGAAATCTTTCTTTGCTCTCCTGTCTGATCCTTCAGCATTTTGAGTAGGGATCTGAATTGGGCATACTCTTTACGAGTCATGGAAAACTAACTCACTCATTATCTAAGGTTTCCTGCATATCTAATTATCTAACTCAGTCATTTCATGATTTGTC